TGACAGAAACAATATCCTACCTAGTGTTCCATGACATGCGCCAAGTCCTACTTAGTGTTCCATGACACATACCAAGTCCTACTTAGTGTAATGTGGCACATATGCCAAGTCCTACTCAGTGTTCCGTGGCACATATGCCAAGCCCTACTTAGTGTTACGTGACACATATGCCAAGTCCTACTTAGTGTTCCACAACACATGCCAAGTCCTACTTAGTGTTATGTGGCACATGTGCCAAGTCCTACATAGTGATCTATGACATGTGTCAAATCCTACTTAGTGTTCCATGACATGTATACCAAGTCCTACTGAGTGTTCCATGACATGTATACCAAGTCCTATGACTGTTCCATGACAGAAACCATATCCTACTTAGCATTCCATGACATGTGCCAAGTCCTACTTAGTGTTCAACAACACATGCCAAGTCCTACTTAGTGTTCAACAACACATGCCAAGCCTACTTAGTGTTACATGGAAACATATACCAAGTCCTACTTAGTGTGATGTGGCACATATGCCAAGCCCTACTTAGTGTTACGTGACACATATGCCAAGTCCTACTTAGTGTTACGTGGCACATATGCCAAGTCCTACTTAGTGTTACATGACACATATACCAAGTCCTATTCAGTGTTCCACGACACATGTGCCAAGTCCTACCTAGTGATCCATGACATATGCCAAGTCCTACCTAGTGTTCCATGACATGTGCCAAGTCCTACTTAGTGTTCCATTACATGTAATGTATACTAAGTCCTACTGAGTGTTCCATGACAGATACCATATCCTACTTAGTGTTCCATGACGTGCCAAGTCCTACTCAGTGTTCAATCACATGTATTACAAGTCTTACTTAGTGTTCCACGACACATGTGCCAAGTCCTACTTAGTGTTACGTGGCACATATGCCAAGTCCTACTTAGTGTTACATGACACATATACCAAGTCCTATTCAGTGTTCCAGGACATGTGCCCAGTCCTACTTAGTGTTCGATGACATGTGCCAAGTCCTACATAGTGTGCCATGACATGTGTCAAGTCCTACATAGTGTGCCATGACATGTGTCAAGTCCTATTTAGTGTTCGCTGACATGTATACCTATATAATATTCATACCAATTCTCTCTTAGCGTGATATGCACCACATACCAAGTCTGCCTTACAATCCCCCCCCTTCCCAAAAATACATACCAAGACTGCCTTAGTAGGATATGAAACATATACATGTACCAGTCTGCCTTAGTAGTATTAGTAGGATATGAAACATATACCAGTCTGCCTTAGTAGGATATGAAACATATACCAGTCTGCCTTAGTAGGATAAAAAAAAATATACCAAGACTGCCTTAGTTGGATATGAAACATATACCAAGACTGCCTTAATAGGATATGAAACATATACCAGTCTGCCTTATGAAACATATACCAGTCTGCCTTAGTAGGATATGAAACATATACCAGTCTGCCTTAGTAGGATACAAAAATATATACCAAGACTGCCTTAATAGGATATGAAACATATACCAAGACTGCCTTAATAGGATATGAAACATACCAAGACCAGTCTGCCTTAGTAGGATATGAAACATATACCAGTCTGCCTTAGTAGGATACAAAAAATATATACCAAGACTGCCTCAACAAGATATATATACCAAGACTGCCTTAATAGGATATGAAACATATACCAAGACTGCCTTAATAGGATATGAAACATATACCAGTCTGCCTTAGTAGGATACAAAAAATATATACCAAGACTGCCTTAATAGGATATGAAACATATACAAAGACTGCGTTAACAGGATATGAAACATATACCAAGTCTGCCTTGCAACAGCTTGATTAATCCTATAAAATGCTTCCAACTCAGATGTGTTTTCAATATTCAATATCTTGATTGACATTTGCTTCACCAGCTTCTCAATTACTATGAAACCTGCATAACCGCACTTACCATATGTGACGACAAACATGCACTATGCAGTAGTGCTTCTAAAAGATAATTTCAAACGGATTGACATTTTGATTTAACCAGTGGCTAAAACAATGTGTAGCCATAAGGCAACTATTTTAAAAATTAAACATTGAGACCTGCATTTCTAAAGCGAAAGATCCAATGGTGAGAATTTTCAAATTTTGTATAAAAGTAAAATGCTAAATTATTAAGTACTAACATCCATTTTTAAAATACCAAATTATGGAACACAAATATAAATTACAAAATATAAAAAATTATTATATAAACAGATGAAAGAAACTGTTCTGTCATGTGAAGCTTTAAGACAATATAAATGGAAACATTCAGAGGCGGCTAACATGATTGGGTGGTCAGACTTGCTGACATGTTTGATATGTCATTGTAACCTAGTTTGCGTAGATTGCTGTTGATCACTGGATTTTCTGTTCTAGACCTGATTACTACAGACTGGCGCCGTCTAGCCGGAAAATTGCTGAGTGCTACGTTAAACATCAAACCAACCAGCTGTAACTCTCAAAATTTGAAATTTTGAATTCTCCAAGAAGACACAGTATGTGACAAAGCTCCATGAGGGAGGTGTGAGTGCTACTCGTTAAACATCAAACCAACCAGCTGTAACTCTCAAAATTTGAAATTTTGAATTCTCCAAGAAGACACAGTATGTGACCAAGCTCCATGAGGGAGGTGTGTGTGTGAGTGTGTGAGTGAGTGAGTGAGTGAGTGAGTGAGTGAGTGAGTGAGTGAGTGAGTGAGTGAGTGAGTGAGTGAGTGAGTGAGTGAGTGAGTGAGTGAGTGAGAGAGAGAGAGAGAGAGACAGAGACAGAGAGAGAGAGAGGAATTTCAAGACATATCATCAGACAATCCCTTGATCAATGCAAACATGTTGGTTGCTGTCATAAACATGATAAAGGAATCTGCATCCTTGACTGGTATGAATCTTATCTCTGTTAATAAACATTGAAAGACTGACAAAGACTGAAACGTTAAAGCAAGATAAATATGAACTTTTAGACAATTTTGAATATCAGGACATTTCTGACACTTGAATTTAATAAAATAAGAAATTAGATCCGAGAAGTATGTTGTCACAGGAGCATACCATGGCCATAATAAACCCATTTCATCAGACTGTTTAAGCCTTGAGAATGTAAAATCTTTCTGGTCTAATGTTAAACATTTTAGTAGTGCTTCGCTCAACTTTCCACCTTCTGTTTACTGTCTGTCCTGGGTTGAGTATTTGTATTTTAAAGAGGTTTCGAATATATTTTAAGATTGATGTGGAATTTCCATCTTTTACAAAAGATTTTTTTTCTATCCTAAGTTAAGTATCAACATTTTAAACATTTAAGACGATGATGAATTTTACAAAAGATTATATATCCAATCATGATGAACAGATAGCAACTTGTGGAATCTGTGATGATGATGATTTTTGTGTATGGTTTATTTGTATTTTTAGAACGGAATTTCCCAGAACAGTGGTAAAAAAGTATCATAATCCCCTTTACATACAAAGGGTTTCATTCATCATGTAAACAACTGTCATGGTATCTCACTAATGGATGTATGTGGCAAAGTATTACTTATATTTTAATTAAGTGTTTCAAAGACCTTGTGGATATGTAGATTTATACATGGAATGCCAATGTTTACACAAGAGATATTCACAATTGACACAATCTTCACACTTCAAAGTATCTTTCACAAATATTAATCAAAGTGAGGGGCTAGATTTTATTGTATATTCATTGCTAGGTGTAAGTAATTGATGTACAAATGTTGCCATTTTGTTGAATGTTTTGGGAATAATATTCATGTCAACTCTTTATTTTGCCAAGTCTATTCTATTGTGCAAAATGGCACATGGCCCCTGTCTTCATGTCCTCTGCGAACCTGACCACAGGATCATATGCAACATCAATCTCTCCGACATCATGTTTATACTGTAACCATAGTCAAGCCAAAACAACAAACAGAAACACAGAATGGTGAAACACAACCTTTTCCAGGGTTAAAACCAAACATGGATACATATTATGTCTAGTTTATGTGATGGTACTTGCCATAAACTATGAAATATATATCAAGAAGTTAACACTTGTCCTGTGCAACCGCCAGAAAGACATTTTTTACACATCTGTATGTCTAGTTTATGTCTGTACTGAGAATTGTTTGGAAGTACTTCAGCCATAAACTGCAAAGTCTCGATGCTGGTTGATTCGAACCATTCTTATCAAGGTTTATGACCACTGAAGGAATAGACATCTGTGGGATGATGCTGATTTTATGGAGTCACTTTTACATATTGTTGTTTGGAATACCATGTTAACATTTTCAAGGATGCAAGATTAGAAAACATGTTCTGACTGTCTCTTTTCTGATCAGACATTCTGATTGGGTGGTTGTTCTGATGTAATGGGATGTTCTTGTATCTTTGCTTAGTGGTAACAAATTAGTTGAACCCTATAGCTCTAATTTGAACCATAAAAGTGCCTTCTGTAGACACAACATGGTAGACTACCGTAGACTCATACACAGCAGTTCTACCAATTTTGAACAAAGTTTAAATATGACTGACAGCAGTATAAAACAAAAGTCGTGAACAAAAAGGGTTGGGAGTCAAGGAGTTGGACAAATTAGGGGAAATTAGATAATAATAAATAATAAATACAAACCGTCATTTCAATTTAAGGCAAATTAGTTCTAATATTTGATTTAGAACTTTATTAGATTTAGATATTTTACTTGTTTACCGCTGAGTAACCTGAATTCGTGTATGGCTAATTTCGATTAGGATCGTCCATAACTCACCAAGCCGTCAACCTTTGCACCTTTCAGTCTTGATTTATTCAAATGTTTCTTCATAGAAACCTTGACTCTTGCCTTTCGACACTGAGGTATCATGATTTTGACAATTGTCGATGTGATTGTTTTCCTCGAAATTCCCGCTTCCGGCAGTAAGTCTTTTCGACGAATGAAAATGCAGAGATATTTTTCTCCTTGTCAGCTCTCTCCTACTTCCGTTTCCGATCACGTTGGATCTGTGCATGTTGTAAAACACTTGGTCTGAGAAATACAAGCGATTCCTTTTCATCAGCTATGGCCAAGACACGTAAAAGAGAACAGAAAGCCCCCAAAGATGGGGTGAAAAAGGGACAACACAGTATGAACCCAGGTAAAAGATTGATGATTATGTTTTGAGAAAAGTCCCACAAAGTGACGTACATGGATAGGGACCGTTCATAAATTATTGCTGTGTGTGAGTGTGTGTGTGAGTGAGAGGTGGTGGTGATGATTTTAAGGGGGTCACCCATTTTGTTCTGGTTAGGTAGGAGGGGTTGGCAATTCTGTACACATCAACAAGGTAGGGTCAACAATTTTGTACATTGAAATGTTAAAAAATTACGCTTAAAAAATATGGGAAATGGGGCGGGGGTGTCATTGATTTTGTACATGACTGGCAAAAGGGGGCATTTGCTTTGTACATATGTTAGGGGATCATTCACATTGTACATGCTTCCCCATATGATCATATCTCTCTCTCTCACACTCACACACACACACACACACACACACCACGACAAGTTATGACACGGTCCCTTACATGGGACAATTCAGTCAACTCATTGACCATGTTGACGCGGACACATTTTAACGGGCGAAACTTACTATGTCGTTATTTTGTTCAGACTGCTGCCTCCTTGGTCGTTAGGGTTCTTTCTGTAAGGATTATGGTATATTGTTAGTCCTTGGATCCCCGTTCTGGTCATTACTTTCAGGTACCCCTTACCAGTCAAACACCCCTTCACGATCCCTTTATCATCCTTTGGTTTAGTTTTGAGGTAGGATACGGGCAAGTTGTCCAAAAATGTTTCCCTGGTAAAGTGCACAACTCCCAAATGCATTACACATACATTGTTGTGGGCACACGCTTTCAGAGCAGAGGATTGAACTCACACTGACGAATGATTTACAGACCGCCTACATATAGCTGGAATATTGCTGAGTGCGGTGTTAAACAACAAGCAAGCAACCAATCCTAAGTGACACAGTATAGATTTTTCACTGACTAATGATCAGAGTTTGTTGTTAATCAGTGTATTCAGGTGTATCCAAGGTGTATCATGTATATGACTGCTGCCTGTAACCTGCTTGTGTCTGGACCTGACAATCCTGTGATTGACACAGTGAACAATGATCAATGCTGTCAGGGTTTCCCTGGTGACATGTGAGCCGCCTCTGTGGTGTAGTGGTTAGAGCGTCTGCCTGGAGAGCTGGAAAGTCACGGGTTGGGTCCCCGGCCGAGTCATACCAAAAGACATTAAAATATGGTACTTGTTCTTCCCTGTCTGGTGCTCGGCATTAATGGGTACCAGGGCTTGATTTAGTGCTTTGTTACTTGCACTGGTGCAACCCAATGTTACAAAGTGCAACCTAGTTATTTGTCTAACTTGCACCAGGTGCAAGTCAATTGTTTAGAATTAAATCAACAATAAATATAACATTATAAGCATAATTATGTCAGCTCATTTTTCTTCTAAACTTTGAATAATTCAATAGCATATTTCTTACATTACATATTGCAATAAGAGCAGTGCAGCTGGAATTTGGCTGGTGCAACTAGGTTTTTATCTCAGGTTGCACCTGGTGCAAGTAGGTTAACATCTCTTAAATCGAGCCCCGGGTACAACAAGGACTGGTTGGCTCAGAGTCAGTATAATGTGTCTGAGTGGGGTATTCATGCTTAACATTGTAGCTCAGTGAGCTAGCACTATAAAACCAACCTAAGTCTGGGCAAGTACAAGCAGCCACACATACACATGCATGCACGTCATCATACGAGTGAAACATTCTTAAGTATGACGTTAAACTCCATTTCACCTCACCTCACCTCACCTCGCCTCATCTCACCTCACTGACGTGTGGTGAACTTGAATACCCAATCTGTTGCAATCCACATAGCCGTCATGTTTTGATAAAAACATCTAAAGAAAACATACATGTATATAGACTTTGGATGTATCTGATATATGCTATGGTTAAACCAACTGATCAGCCTTTGTATGGGCCAGAAAGTGAAGGGCCTCACATATCTGCCAATCATAGCTATCTATTGGTATTATCTGTCGGACATTCACTAGACGGTAACGCATAGACTTGACTGAGGCCTCCATAACATTCTACAATAGACTCACATTGATTTTGTAGATGCTTTCACATTATCACAAGCCCTAACAGTTCAGTCATCAGCATTCATTAATGACACTATGTCTGCAAAATTAATCATCATCTAACCTGCAGGGTGGTGGGGTAATCTGGTGTTTAAAGCATTTGCTCATCATGCCGAAGATCAGGGTTCTATTCCCCACATGGGTACAATGTGTGAAGCCCAATTCTGGCGTCCCAAGTGGTGATATTGCTGGAATATTGCTAAAAACGGCGTAAAACTAAACTCAATCTCTCATCTCCTTTTGGATAATGGCTACACTATCATATGTCAAATTGTACAAGAGCAGAATGTCAGTGTAAAAATTATGAACTTATTTTTTTTCAGATCGGGTCAAAGGTGAAGGCGGACACAACATGAGAGATAAATCTACAATTAAGCGATTACAAATGTACAAGAACTTCAAGGCTAAAAGGTATACTTTGATGTCAAAACAATTACACATGCTAGTAAACTTGGAAGAAATATTGATAAAATAATGTTTGTAAAATTTAATTTCAAATGACTCACTGAAGTAGAAAATGTTACGATTGCTTATTTGCAGTTTATTTGTCTGTAGTAGCCTTGGTATTCATTATCAGTGATAGAAATTACATTTTGTAGACTTTGTTTGTTCTATCTATTGAGTTTTGTTTCTATCCTTGATAGACTATCCATCTATTACCATGCTCCAACATGCATACAGACCAACTAAATGGCATCTAACTTCATGCTAACATGTTCAGTTACCTTATGATTACATGGTAGTGGACATGTTTGAAGTGATATACAATGTTTGAAGTGATGTACAATGTTTGAAGTGATGTACAATGTTTGAAGTGATGTTCAATGTTTCAAGTGATGTACAATGTCAAATTGCCAAATGACTGAGCAGTTTGATCTTCCCTATGTACTTTTACTGCGAATACAAAACACTGATGACATTTATGGATTAGTTGATAATTACAAGCTCTGTCCTCGCTTGTGAATTAAGCAGATTTGTACAGACCTTGAAAGTGCTGTAATCTACACGTGCCAGACATTCTAGACTTGCAGGCTAGGTTTCACTATAGTAGTTACCTTAGATTTCATGATAGTTGACATGTTTGAAGTGATATACAATGTTTCAAGTGATTTAAAATGTGTCACTACATGGTTGAAATATTGCTTATGTGACGGAAAATATGAATTCACTAACTCACTGATATACAAAGGTAAATTGACAAATGACTGAACAGTTTTTAGCACAGAAAGTATTTGGTGCATGGCAATTACCAACACAAGGGCAGTGGTTATTAGTTAAACTCCATACAAGGTTGTAGGCTGCCTTGCACAGTGGAGAGCTGTAAATGGTAGCAGCGATTATACACAGCTCAGCAATATGATGCCACAATAAATTTTTAGGATATCATGTTTTATCAGGCTGTCTGACTGTAGTTTTATAAAATGAGCACCACATTTGTCATGTGCCTCTAAATCTGATTGATGTTTCTGTATGTTGGTGCTAATTCTTCCAATGTAACCATGGTAACATGATTTTACAGAGATAGGAAAGGGAAAATATTATCTCCGGCCCCCTTCCAGTCAACCCTTGCCTCTGGGACTGTAGCTCGTGTGGAACCTAACAGACGCTGGTTTGGTGAGAGAAATTATTAGTGTTACTCCCTGGGGGTGTGTTAGGCACCACCCATTCTTTACTTTCAAGATACTGCTGCTACTAAGTCGGAACAATCTCACTGCATGTGTTTTTCGGATGATTATATGTACTGGTTGAATTCAGATGAGTGCAATTACTGCTTAAACATTATATTTTTTGAACCTGTAGGCTAAGCTGTTGAATCAAAACTTCCTGGCCTCTGACCACCTGACCTCTGCCCCCACTCCGATAGCAGAACTGTCAATCATCTCAATAAGCGTGCCGATCGCTCAGATGATCACGTGACATTCTGTGCCTGTCATTCTCTTTCTTGTCGCTACACCGTGTGGACATGTGTTGTTCTCTCAGTTAGACTTTACTGTGAACATACTTTTTTTCGCTTGGTGCAAATTTCGCGGAATTGACAGTTTAGACTACATCGTTCGGTCAATTATTCGCGCAATCAGTAATTGCCGGAACTGCCAGCTGTCTCTTAGGCCGCTACTAATAGCAATGAGAGCAACCAGAGTGGCTTAACCTGTCAGGTGGCGTGTATTGCTTAGTCACAGGAAATCACTACCTGCGCAATATGTATACAGTAATACGTTTAGTCACGGAAGTATTAAGTACTTAGGAAGTGAGATATCGTGATGGTACTAGTATACCATGTAAAGAGATGAAAATCACATCAGTCTTATGTTCCGAATTCTGACGATCTGACGATGGCATTGCGAATGTGGTTAAAGAAAGCACCTACCCCCAAGACACCTGGACTTCCAGATTTTGTGATTTTTATTTCGTGATATGCAGGAATAAATATAAATAAAATCTTAATGAATAAATAAAATAGTGCTGTATTATTGCTTTCTGAGTCGTTTCATGGTAATCCGTTTTGTATCAAACCATCTGTCACTACGATTGGTCAAAATAGAACATGTCGGGACATAATTTGTGAAATCCATTACAGCGACAGTTAAGTATGCCACTATCAGTCGTCATTTTAAGATTCCCGTAGATTTCTGTCTTCAAACTGGATGTGTTATGGTAACAACTCAGGGGCGAGCGTGGCTAGACTGAATGAATGACAGGTTTATTCGCTGTGTATAAATTTTCGCGGTAAAATATTTTGCGTGAAAAGCACGAAAATAAAACCTGTGCGATATATAATACGTTTACAGTATTTGATTGTCAATATGGGAAATAAATCGAATCGAAGTTCTTCTAAGGAACGCAAACTTTGTGGTCAGTGCAACAACAACTTTTCAGCTGCTGATCCACGCTTTGTGTGTGGGTTGTATAGGATGTTGTAGTTGGTCACATCGGTGTTCTGTTTGTTCACACTTGAATGGTCATGTTTTGTTGTTTTTTCTGAATGTTGACGGGTTGCATCTAGATGTAGATCGGACAGAGATTGGCATACAACTGCTGAAGGTCCTTCAACTTCCAAGTGTGCTAAATCGGAACGGCGTTTGATGAGAGCAGTTCGTCGATCTAATCACCGTCCCCGGACAAAGTTTTTTTAGAGGTGGTCTCAGACTCCTACTTGAGCGAGTATCTCTGTCGTCTCTTTCGTCCTCAACATCTAGTCCCGTCTCCGGACAAGTTTTATCTCCTCCGAAGTGGTAGTGCTAACAACCTCTGTAGCACAGTCTCGGCCTTCTACCTTGGCAGGTGGTTGTTTCCAGTGCGCCGCTTTGGTTGAGTGCTCCACCCCCCTCTGCTATGGTGGGTGCGCTGGTAAAAGCGTTCACTCTCCTGCGGCGAGTGCAGTCAGTTCGGCGCTTTGTTCCAGTTCGGCGCTCTCATATCTTTCTGTGGTGACGTCAGGCATGACGATAGTATCCAGTGCGGCGCTTTCAGCGCCTTTCCTGTACCTTGCACCACCTGTCTCTGAACCACCGGTTAGTTCCAGTGCGTCGCTTACTACTTGTGCGGGGCTTGCTGCCCAGTCATCACTTTGTACCAGTGTGTCGCTCTCACAAGGGAAGAAGAGACCAGTGCATCATTTCACTTCAGTTCACCGCTCTCGTTCGGTCCAACTCATTAGCCCCGTTGCGACGCATTCAATTTGATCAACACTTCTGCCCAGTGTGCCTTTTCGATGAACATCAACGCTTCAGACCAGTGTTCTGTTTTCGATTGGAACAACGATGAATTGTTGTTTGATTGGAACACCTTTCAGTCCAGTTCACCTTTACTGTATGTACTTATAGACGAATGCACCGGTCCTGATTGACTCAGCGCTTTAGAACCAGATCACTTGACTGAACCGGATCACAGTACCGAACCAGAGAACATAATCGATCCTGATCGCCGCACCATACCAGATCGCCGCTCCGACAGTATTCGCCGATCCGACAGTGTTCGCTGGACTGTCAAATTTCGCCGAATCATCTGGTTACCTCTATGCGCATACAGTCATCATGATTTGTTTACTAGTTCGCACACTACGGTACCTACAGTGACTTTGTCTACTGCAGTTCTACTTCGACACTTTTTCCAACTTCGGCGTTGATACCTCATTTCTACAGTTTTTACCAGTGCTCAGCTTGGCTTCGGGGTTACGCTTCCTGCTTCAATGATGTTTGTGAACAGACAGAGCGTTCACTCCAATGTGCCGCTTTCATTCAGTTTGGCGCTGCAGAGCGCACCTTGTGTTTTGATTGGCTCATCTCTGCACACCAATGCTTTCAGTCCAGTGCGACGCTTTGTCCCAATGCGCCGCTTTCATTCAGTTCCTGGATGTCTGCTAGTGCGCCGATCGTATTCAGAGTGCCGCATTGCTCCAGTATATCAACGCTTCCATCCAGTGCAACGCTTTCTTATGCATCAACGCTTCCATCCAGAGCGCCGCTTTACTCCAGGGCATCGGTCTCGTATGTATCAACGCTTCCTTCCAGTACGACGCTTTCTTATGTATCCAGAGCGCCGCTTTACTCCAGTGCGCTGCTTTCTTCTGTATCATCGTTTCCATCCAGTGTGCCGCTCTCTTCTGTATCGACGCTTTCATCCAGTGTGGCTCTTCCAGTTTGTGCATCGTTTCGGTTGGTTGTACAGAGGTAGTAGTTATGTCAGTAGCCAGGCCTCTACATTACGGCAGTGATTGATGATTTTGGATTTTTAAGATTCCTCCGTCATCTGCCATCCGATCTTCACCTTTTATGTATGATTCGATTCACCGAATCTACCCTTCGACGTAGATATCAGCTCTACAACCACCCGGTTGGACATATTTGTCCAGAAACTTGACGATGATGTGAAAGGAAGGGTGCTGAGGCTTGACGAAACAGACCATGATTACACCCAGTGATGCACCACATAGCTGCTACGAGTAGTCTGTATATAGTAACAAGACTCAGTGAAGCGTCGTACAATATTCCTGAATATCAACCTGGTCTATTTATGCACAGTTTCTCCGTGTGGTACCAGTAGTGATGTTTGGTCAAGAAGCTAGCATCACTTTACCCAGATTCTATGGGTTGAGACTCGCCTGGTTGACTGACATCTGTGTTGTCTGTTTTTTTTGTCATTATTGCATTGTCGGTAACATTTGCAATGGCGGACTACTGTTTGTTTACCGGAGACTTTTGATGATACAATGATTATGAAATACCCTGACAGACATGTCTTGGTCCACGAAGTGGATACCTATCCCAGCCTTTAATTGCCAGTGATGATGAACGGTGCCATTCCCGGTAGGAGTGATTATGTCGAGTTTAGTCAGTCTTCCGAGAGAAGCAATTTACCGAGGGTGCCAGACAGAATCGCCCGAGAACGCTTTCACTTGGCTAGGGTTACTCGGTTTTTTGCTTAAGCCCTCAGTTCAGAGGTCACTGCAGCTATGTCCGGACTGTCCGCAAGCATTGATTTTACTACGTTCGTTTCCCTTACGACCGTTCCTGGGGTCACTGGTCTTTTTACCTCCGCCATTCCATCAACTTTTCGAATGTTCTGGTAGACTGACGATCCCTTGCCTCGCATCTACTAACTTTTCACTCTATCTGGCAGACCAACCCTTCATTTGGAGAACCATACGTTCCTGCGATCACTGATTATACGGCCTGCATCAGACCTTTTTCTGTTGACGTCAGCCCAAGTTGTAACTCTGAGGGGATAGCTTCAACTACGGCCTCTCCAATATTTTCTGTGTCCGCACATCAGGATTGGCGCCCCTCACGCATTGATCTTTCTTTCTCCAGTGTTCCGTCCCCATCTCCAGTGGTGTTTGGATGTGTTGAATGTTTGTGGCGAAGTCTCTTTCAGACCATTTACTCCAGTACATCACCTGTACGTAGACGCTTCTCTACACGGGTGGGGAGCTCACTTTCTCGATAAGCAGGTGGCAGGGCTGTGGTCTCCCGCAGACCGCGCATGTCACATCAACGTTTAGGAGCTCATGGCAGTGGTTCTTGCGATCACTCATTGGCAACACCTGTTAAAATGAACCAAGCTTTTGATTCAATCGGACTATGCTGCAGTCGTGTGGCACCTCAATCGAATGGGATCCATGGGGTCTCCTTTGCCTCTTCAGTGGATACAACAGTTTTCCACTTAGTGGACTCTCTCAACATCACGGTCCAGGCCAATCACATCCCGGGGATGACTTGAACGCGTATGCATTTCCACCAGTGGCACTACTTCCACGCATACTGCTCAAGCTACGCACGACACAGCAGATGACACTGATTTTGGGTCACACCTTTTTGGCCCGTCAGAAGTTTGTTCCTAGACCTGCAAGACTTGGTCGACCCATTCCAGTACCACTTCCAGATCACGCCGATCTTCTGGTTCATCCTCACTCCAATCAGCTGCATTAGTCTCCACTCGCATTTAATCCTCAAGCCTGGTGCATTTACATGAATCGCTGACTGCAAGGGATATTCCGGGCGAGTAGCTACGGGGATTACAACGGCGCACCGAACTTCTACCAGGCCACTCTGTGATGACTATGGAAGCATTGCCTCAGATGGTCGTGGAGTACCTCCAGCATCCTAGAACTTCCAACCTTGTCTACATACCTGGCCATGGTATTGTGCCGGCTATGGGTGCGACGGTGGCAACTGTCCCTGAGCTCCAGTCTCTCCTTAGATCTTACAAAGTTGCTGATCAATCCCGGAAGTTCCGGCCACCAGCCTGGGACCTTTTTCGTGGTTTTTTATCATCTCACATCAGAGAAGTATGAACCTCTGGCAGGGAAGGATTTCAAGCATGTCACGTTTAAGACTTTCTTCCTCCTGGCTCTTGCGACTGCTGCCTGCATTTCTGAGCTTCACGCTCTGGATGTCACCCAGTTGCCCTTTGAGAGGACCAGACATGCCAAAGCCCTTCCTGGTTTGAGGTGGGATCTCATCGCTGAAACCAGTTGCCTGGATCTCTCCCTATGTCCTGTCCGGACTTTACGGGTTTTTTAGCTGCCTCCAAGGATTGTCGTAGGTTACGCAATAGACTGTTAATTCCTCTGTAACCTGCCTCATCTACAGAGGTCTCTCGTACCATGCTGGCTTTCTGGATGCGATCTACCATCCTTCGTGCCTACGCCTACACTGACCTTCCTCTTCCTACTACGGCCAACCCTCATGAGACAAGAGCCTTGGCCTCTACGATGGTGCTACACAGAACTGTTCCCTTCACGGCATCATGGAGGGTTGTTTTTGGAGATTGGACACGGTCTTCGCCTCATCCTACCTCTGGGATCTGTCTGTCACTGACGTGGAAGGTCTTCACCAACTGGGTCCATTGGATCTGGCACAGCAGTTGTTGTCGGCTCGCAAATGCAGATACGATGCAGTTCCTGCCTTCGTGTAGGTTTTGCATTCTCTATATCATGAAAGATATCGGCCCTATCTTTCTTATTAGTATGGATTATATTTGGGCATAGACCACCTCACCAACTAGGGCGTGTCTGCACTGTCATAGATATGACTCGATAAACTGAGAGGTCAGTCTTGTACTACATGCAGAGGTGGTCGACACTCCGCTTACTGACCTCTACTCTCTGAGCAATTACGTCAGTGAAGTGTTGATTCCCGATTACCTACGTGGTTTTCGAAGCATTCCGCTCCTAAGTCCTTTCTCACGTTTGGTAAGTTAGGGGGATTGGTACTGAACGTTAAACAAGTTGAGCAACAGGGCAACACATTGTCGTTAGAAGAAGAGAGGTGCATACCGTGAGATGGGATAAGTATACAAATATACAATTTATAATAAAATGTTCAATTATTTGAAAAGATACAATGAAGAGATTTTTATGCTTGTGTTTCCATATTTTACTTGTAAATGTAATAGATTATGAAAACAAATTAAATTTTTAACCTACTAAGGACATGGAAACACACATATCTGATGTTATCTATGTTTGTTTGTAATTGTCTCCTGGATTTCAAGCTTGTGGAACAGTGCAGTGTTTCACTAGAACTATCTTTTTGTGGAAGCTATTTGTGATATCTATTTCATGTTCATTTTGTTCATCTTCTAGGAAACACACGAGTTGTGACACAAACAGCCCTTCAGACTTTTCAAGATGAAATGGCCAAGGTCAAACGTGATCCGTACAAGATCGTCATGCAACAAACAAAGCTACCGATCACGTTGCTGAATGAGGCTGCAAAGGTCAGGGTCACCTGTTTACATCATCGGACTCAAGTGTCCAATAATGAAAGAATGATATACTATGGCTGGATATGATTACTGGGAATGAGAATAAACCTGGTTTTATATCATCCATTAAGTTGTTTTCTTGTTGCATCAGCTTAGCTTGATGCCAGTTGGAGGATTGAATTGATTCAATGAACTTTCTTGTTCCAGCATGCCAGAGTTCATCTGCTAGACACAGAATCATTCCAGTCAACTTTTGGGAAGAAATGTCAAAGGAAGCGTCCAAATCTGAAAGTTGCAGACATGTCGGTGAGTGAAGACATCTTGGCAAAGGATAGGTCAAATAATTGTGAAGAATTCGTTTATGGATCGAACCAACAATTTATTGCAATTGTTGACAGGCAATATGCGGAACCAAACAATTGGCAGATGTGTTGGGATTTGAGATGGTAAAAAATATCAGGAATCCATATTGTGTGAAGGCACAGGCGCTCATCCTGGTTTTGTTGGGTGTTTTGAAAAAGAAACAATTTACCAAAGGCTAGAATGAGACTTTTAGAATCGTTATTGATGTACATCCTTGATTCATAGAATGGAAGTGATGCAAGGAAAGTACCAGAAGGCAACAGTCTATTTCAGGTTTGTAGTTTTGTGTTGGCCGCATCGGATCAATATGTAGATGAACTGTAAGCATGGGTGAGGGTTAATGTGTGTTTGGTTGGCTGGACTTGTTATAGGATGTGGTAGGAGACAGTCACTGGATTGATGACTGTCGACTGGTTGTAGGATGTGGTAGGAGACAGTCATTGGATTGATGACTGTCGACTTGTTGTAGGATGTGGTAGGAGACAGTCATTGGGTTGATGACTGTTGACTTGTTGTAGGATGTGGTAGGAGACAGTCATTGGATTGATGACTGTTGACTGGTTGTAGGATGTGGTAGGAGACGGTCATTGGATTGATGACTGTTGACTTGTTGTAGGATGTGGTAGGAGACGGTCATTGGATTGATGACTGTTGACTTGTTGTAGGATGTGGTAGGAGACGGTCATTGGATTGATGACTGTTGACTTGTTGTAGGATGTGGTAGGAGACGGTCATTGCATTGATGACTGTCGACTGGTTGTAGGATGTGGTAGGAGACAGTCATTGGATTGATGACTGTTGACTTGTTGTAGGATGTGGTAGGAGACAGTCATTGGATTGATGACTGTTGACTTGTTGTAGGATGTGGTAGGAGACAGTCATTGGATTGATGACTGTCGACTTGTTGTAGGATGTGGTAGGAGACAGTCTTTATATTGATGACTGTTGACTTGTTGTAGGACCTCATGTCAGACAGTGAATGTGTTGATGTTGTAGACTCTGGTGCAGCAAGCTGAGAAGTTGGGGGACTCGTATGACATCACCAAGGACCATGACCTTGTTGAGGAGGACACAGGGGTCAAGGACGAGACTCCTGAGATTGTCTTCAAAGCGGGTCAGTCCAAGAGGATCTGGAACGAACTGTACAAGGTAATGGGGAAGGAGGTCTTGGTAAATAAGGCCAGTTAAAGCACAGTGAAAATATTGTACACGTCTGGATTTTTTGTTATGATACCGACTGCCTCCATGGTGTAGTGGTTAGAGCATCCACCCAAAGAGCGAAAGGTCGCTGGTTCAATTCCCGGCCTCGTCATACCAAAAGACGTTAAAATAGGGTACTTGTTGGTACTCAGTGAGCTAACACTATAAAACCAGCTAGAGTATGGGCTAGTACAAGCAGCCACACATACACGCATGCACGTTGTCATATGAGCGAAATATTCTTATGTATGACGTTAAACCTTATTTCACCTCACCTCACATGATATAAATGTTCATAATATCAACCACTGGTTTGTCTGGCCTAGATTTGATCTTAGTGACTGACTGTGTGATGAAACAAAGAAAACCAATATCAATGTCCTGTAATGATTGGCTCCCTGCTGCAGGTGATCGACTCCTCCGACGTAGTGGTTCAAGTTCTGGATGCCAGGGATCCTCTGGGTACACGTTGCTACCAGGTAGAGAAATATCTCAAGAAGGAAAAGTCGCACAAGAATCTCATTTTTGTTTTGAACAAAGTCGACCTGGTGCCTATCTGGGTGACGGTAAGTAACCATAGTAACATTTTGCGCTGTGTGCTTTTCAAGACTGTCAGCCACCAGTGGCTTGCTCCGAGTCTAATTACCTTGTACAGTTTGTACCTTGAAGTTTGAGTACAGTTAATGTTAGGTGCTGAGTACCTTGTAGTGCGAACAAGACAACTCCTGATCTTGGCGTAATATTTAGTATGCTCACTTACTGTGATGTTGGAGTTTGCCTAAACTGTCTTAACTTGAGTATTTGTGGTATTGGTCCTTGTATATAAGATAACATAATCTGATTCTGTGTTATTTTGCAGCAAAAGTGGGTGGCCATTCTGTCAGCGGAACATCCCACCATGGCATTCCATGCCAGCATCACCAACTCCTTTGGAAAGGGGGCTCTCATCAACCTTCTCAGACAGTTCGGGAAGGTGGGCAAAGGGAGACAACTCCTGTACAGGGGTGACATTTGTGTTACAGCTTCATGTCTCTGTTAGGGCTTCATATTTCTGTTACACTTTTTGGTACTCTTTAGTATTCAGGTTGGAATAGGTCCCCTGAAACTGCTTGTTGTAATGGTTGAACGAGTGCTTTTCACAACTGTTTATCCTTTTTGTTCCAGCTTCACATTGACAAGAAGCAGATAAGTGTGGGTTTTATCGGCTATCCCAATGTGGGGAAGAGCTCAATCATAAACACCCTGAAGGCTAAGAAAGTCTGCAAGGTGGCCCCCATCGCTGGAGAGACCAAGGTCAGTCTCGTGTCTACTCTGTCATGTTCAGGGTGCTGTTGTACAAAAGAACCTTTTTGCTAAGACTGTCGTAAGTCTGTGATAAGGTATGAGAATTACAATTACCTTAGCATTAACCCTGTCATAAGTCTTTGTTAAGGTATTGGAGTTATGACCACCTTAGTACTAAGACTGTCGTAAGTCTATGTAAAGGTATTGGAGTTACGATCACCTTAGCAATAAGCCTGTCGTAAGTTAATGTAAAGGTATGGGAGTTACGACCACCTTAGCAATAAGACTGTCGTAAGTCTATGTAAAGGTATGGGAGTTACCTTAGCAATAAGACTGTCGTAAGTCTATGTAAAGGTATGGGAGTTACGATCACCTTAGCACTTAGCCTGTCGTAAGTCTATGATAAGGTATGGGAGTTAGGATCCCCTTAGTGCTAAGATCATTTTGTACAATGGTACCCTGGTCCTCTAATAAACTATGTAACTATGTATCCACTAGATAATCACCGCCATCAGCTGGTTTTCCTTGCTGTGTAAGATGTGACATTACCAACAGTGCTGTGTGAGGTTTGACATTACCCACAATGCTGTGCTGCAGGTGTGGCAGTACGTGACGTTGATGAAGAGGATCTTCCTGGTGGACTGTCCTGGTGTGGTGTACCCGACTGGAGCAACGCAGACCGAGATCGTACTCAAGGGAGTGGTAAGTTCTGCATTCAATAACATTGTAAGATTCCCGTAAAAATTTGCAGGAACTGTATGTGAAAATACCCTGGCCTTAGCTCTTCTACTGCATAGCTGTGTCTTGTTTACAGGTCAGTTGTGAATGTTGGAAGAACATTCTGTTTGCAATCTTTGTGGATTGGGTGACTTGATTGAATGGGTCTATTACCAAGGGAACTGCTCATGATATCAGTCACTAGTTTGTCTGGTCCAGACCAGTTTTTTACAGGCCACTTTGAGTAAGCTATAATGTTGCTATTCCCCTACACTTAAGACTGAGTAGGAAGCCTTGTTTTAAAGAACACTTCTTCATTCTAGGTTCGTGTGGAGAACATCAGGAATCCAGAGGACTATATTGGCGCCATATTGGAGCGTGTTAAGACCGAGTATATCAACAAGACATACAAGATAGACAGCTGGACGGGGACTGAAGATTTCATTGAACAGATTGCACGAAAGTCAGGACGACTGTTGAAGGTCAGTCCCTAGGTGTCTGGGATAGAAACAAGGCTAGAGAGAGTCTACTTGTAGAGGGACAGGGTGGCGAAGTTGTCCAAGGGGCTGTAAATCTTATCAGAGTGACCAAGTTGTCCATGGGGCTGTAATTCTGCTTATCAGAGAGTCTACTTGTAGAGGGGTATGGTGACCAGGTTGTCCAAGGGGCTGTAGATCTGCTTATCAGAGTCTAAGCAGGGGTGACCAAGTGTCCAAGGGGCTGTAGATCTACTTATCAGGGCTTGTAGAGGAGCAGGATGCTGTGTCCAAGGGGCTGTAGATCTGCTTATCAGAGAGTCTACTTGTAGAGGGCAGGATGACCTGGCTGTCCAAGGGGCTGTAGATCTGCTTATCAGAGAGCAGGATCTACTTGTAGAGGGGCAGGATGCTGTAGGCTGTCCAAGGGGCTGTAGATCTGCTTATCAGAGAGTCTACTTGTAGAGGGGCATGGTGACCAAGTTGTCCAAGGGGCTGTAGATCTGCTTATCAGAGAGTCTACTTGTAGAGGAGCAGGATGCTGTAGATCCAAGGGGCTGTAGATCTGCTTATCAGAGAGTCTACTTGTAGAGGAGCAGGATGCTGTAGATCCAAGGGGCTGTAGATCTGCTTATCAGAGAGTCTACTTGTAGAGGGGCATGGATGACCAGGCTGTTTAAGGGGCTGTAGATCTACTTATCAGAGAGTCTACTTGTAGAGGAGCAGGATGCTGTAGATCCAAGGGGCCGTAGATCTGCTTATCAGAGAGTCTACTTGTAGAGGGGCACGGTGACCAAGTTGTCCAAGGGGCTGTAGATCTGCTTATCAGAGAGTCTACTTGTAGAGGAGCAGGATGCTGTAGATCCAAGGGGCCGTGATCTGCTTATCTGAGAGTCTACTTGTAGAGGGGCACGGTGACCAAGTTGTAGAGGGGCAGGATGACCAGGTTGATCCAAGGGGCTGTAGATCTACTTATCGTGCCCCTCTACAGAGTCTACTTGTAGAGGAGCAGGATGCTGTAGATCCAAGGGGCTATAGATCTGCTTATCAGAGTCTACTTGTAGAGGAGCAGGATGCTGTAGATCCAAGGGGCTGTAGATCTGCTTATCAGAGTCTACTTGTAGAGGAGCAGGATGCTGTGGATCCAAGGGGCCGTAGATCTGTTTATCAGAGTCTACTTGTAGAGGAGCAGGATGCTGTAGATCCAAGGGGCTGTAGATCTGTTTATCAGAGTCTACTTGTAGAGGAGCAGGATGCTGTAGATCCAGGGGGCTGTAGATCTGCTTATCAGAGAGTCTACTTGTAGAGGAGCAGGATGCTGTAGATCCAAGGGGCTGTAGATCTGCTTATCAGAGAGTCTACTTGTAGAGGGGCACGGTGACCAAGTTGTCCAAGGGGCTGTAGATCTGCTTATCAGAGAGTCTACTTGTAGAGGAGCAGGATGCTGTAGATCCAGGGGGCGGAGATCTGCTTATCAGAGAGTCTACTTGTAGAGGAGCAGGATGCTGTAGATCCAAGGGGCTATAGATCTGCTTATCAGAGTCTACTTGTAGAGGAGCAGGATGCTGTGGATCCAAGGGGCCGTAGATCTGTTTATCAGAGTCTACTTGTAGAGGAGCAGGATGCTGTAGATCCAAGGGGCTGTAGATCTGTGTATCAGAGTCTACTTGTAGAGGAGCAGGATGCTGTAGATCCAGGGGGCTGTAGATCTGCTTATCAGAGAGTCTACTTGTAGAGGAGCAGGATGCTGTAGATCCAAGGGGCTGTAGATCTGCTTATCAGAGAGTCTACTTATAGAGGGGCATGGTGACAAGGCTGTCCAAGGGGCTGTAGATCTACTTATCGTGCCCCTCTACAGAGTCTACTTGTAGAGGAGCAGGATGCTGTAGATCCAAGGGGCCGTAGATCTGTTTATCAGAGTCAACATGTAGAGGAGCAGGATGCTGTAGATCCAAGGGGCTATAGATCTGCTTATCAGAGTCTACTTGTAGAGGAGCAGGATGCTGTAGATCCAAGGGGCTATAGATCTGCTTATCAGAGTCTACTTGTAGAGGAGCAGGATGCTGTAGATCCAAGGGGCCGTAGATCTGTTTATCAGAGTCTACTTGTAGAGGAGCAGGATGCTGTAGATCCAAGGGGCTGTAGATCTGTTTATCAGAGTCTACTTGTAGAGGAGCAGGATGCTGTAGATCCAAGGGGCTGTAGATCTGCTTATCAGAGAGTCTACTTATAGAGGGGCATGGTGACCAGGCTGTCCAAAGGGCTGTAGATCTGCTTATCAGAGAGTCTACTTGTAGAGGAGCAGGATGCTGTAGATCCAAGGGGCCGTAGATCTATTTATCGACTGTTCATATTTTACAGGGATTGACAGATTAACTATAGTCATATGAACATATTTGGTGTTCTTTAAACATATTTTGTATCAAATGTGTTAAAGTCAGTATCAAGAGGCTCAACTTGAGTCATATATTTAAAACATCTTCAGTCAATATAACATCCCATCTTAACACTACGTCACGGCGAAGACCCGGGTTCGAATTCCCACATGGGTACAATGTGTGAAGAACCCATTTCTGGTGTCCCCTGCCATGATGTTGCTGGAATATTGCTAAAAGCGGAGTAAAAACAAACTCAGTCAGTCAGCCAGTCTTAACACTCTGCATGTGTATAACTGACACACACAACCCTGTGTGGTCCTACGCTGTGATTGGATGTATCAGATGAGGCTGATGTTGCAGGGAGCCGAACCAGATGTCAGCACCATGGCCAAGATGATCCTCAATGACTGGCAGCGAGGCAAAATCCCATACTTCGTCCGGCCTCCAGAGTCAGAGGTAAGGTCAAGGCTGTTTCTGAACGTTCTTTGTTAAATAATAGGACCAACTGGCTTAACCAAGTGCCATTTTGAAATATGTTTAATTCCCATGAAAATGTTTTCCTATTTGCCTTGTTTACATGATTTTATTATCTGTGTGTAAAACAAAAAGAGGGAACAAATAAAAAAAAGAAGAAAAAGATTCTCCTTTGTCACACTGACACTGTAGTGAAGTGGTTAAAGTGTTCGCTCATCACACTGAAGACCTGGGTTTGATTCCCCACATAAGTACAATGTGTGAAGCCCATTTCTGGTGTCCCTCACCATGACATTGCTGGAGTATTGCTAAAAGCGGTGTAAAACTAAACTCACTCACTCATTAATGGAAAACTTTGGACAAGATGAATGGGCATAAGTGATACTGTCAAGGAGTTGTTGTCATAAGTGATACTGTCATGGAGTTGTTGTCATAAGTGATACTGTCATGGAGTTGTTGTCATAAGTGATACTGTCAAGGAGTTGTTGTCATAAGTGATACTGTCATGGAGTCGTTGTCATAAGTGATACTGTCATGGAGTCGTTGTCATAAGTGATACTGTCAAGGAGTTGTTGTCATAAGTGATACTGTCATGGAGTTGTTGTCATAAGTGATACTGTCATGGAGTTGTTGTCATAAGTGATACTGTCAAGGAGTTGTTGTCATAAGTGATACTGTCAAGGAGTTGTTGTCATAAGTGATACTGTCATGGAGTTGTTGTCATAAGTGATACTGTCATGGAGTCGTTGTCATAAGTGATGCTGTCAAGGAGTTGTTGTCATAAGTGATACTGTCAAGGAGTTATTGTCATAAGTGATACTGTCATGGAGTTGTTGTCATAAGTGATACTGTCATGGAGTTGTTGTCATAAGTGATACTGTCAAGGAGTTGTTGTCATAAGTGATACTGTCAAGGAGTTGTTGTCATAAGTGATACTGTCATGGAGTTGTTGTCATAAGTGATACTGTCATGGAGTTGTTGTCATAAGTGATACTGTCAAGGAGTTGTTGTCATAAGTGATACTGTCATGGAGTTGTTGTCATAAGTGATACTGTCATGGAGTTGTTGTCATAAGTGATACTGTCAAGGAGTTGTTGTCATAAGTGATACTGTCAAGGAGTTGTTGTCATAAGTGATACTGTCAAGGAGTTGTTGTCATAAGTGATGCTGTCAAGGAGTTGTTGTCATAAGTGATACTGTCATGGAGTTGTTGTCATAAGTGATACTGTCATGGAGTCGTTGTCATAAGTGATACTGTCAAGGAGTTGTTGTCATAAGTGATACTGTCATGGAGTTGTTGTCATGATGACTGTCATGGAGTCGCGTTGTCATAAGTGATACTGTCATGGAGTTGTTGTCATAAGTGATACTGTCATGGAGTTGTTGTCATAAGTGATACTGTCATGGAGTCGTTGTCATAAGTGATACTGTCAAGGAGTTGTTGTCATAAGTGATACTGTCATGGAGTTGTTGTCATAAGTGATACTGTCATGGAGTTGTTGTCATAAGTGATACTGTCATGGAGTTGTTGTCATAAGTGATACTGTCATGGAGTCGTTGTCATAAGTGATGCTGTCAAGGAGTTGTTGTCATAAGTGATACTGTCATGGAGTCGTTGTCATAAGTGATACTGTCATGGAGTTGTTGTCAAGCTGTTGTACAGGAGCGATGAAGTCCTGTAAGATGTTGCAATGTCAGAGTGACTATCAGAAATCAATCTACCTGAACAATGCTTACATGGGAAATCTTTTGGAATTATCTCTCATGTGATAACAAATTTCGCATTGGTTACAGAACCACATTGGGGCGGTGAGGTAGCCTAGTGGTTAAAGCGTTGGCTCAGTCACGCCGAAGACCTGGGTTCGATTCCCCACATGGGCACAATATGTAAAGCCCATTTCTGGTGTCCCCCGCCGTGATGTTGCTGGAATATTGCTAAAAGCGGCGTAAAACTAAACTCAGTCAGTCAGTACCACATTATTAGCTGGTATTAGTAATCAAACCATTTATGAATGATTAAATAACAGTTCTTATGTGTTGGTTCAGTTTATCAACTGTTTTCTTTCTCAAACTTTCTCAAACGCATGCAAGCAACAAAAGCGTGTGTGCTCATTGATGGCTGTTACATTGATGAACCTGTTCTGATCTGGAAGACCCACAGTGACAAATCAAAGGAGTGTGTGATTGAGTTGGGTCACTTGGAATAATTGCTTGGAATACCACTCCAGTTGTATTACAGTGTGTGTGTCAGCTTGTGGATGGAGGAAAGCATGAAGCGATGCAGGTCTCCGATGTTTGAGTGGCAGTGGTAGTGACAAACTTAAATAAAACCTAGGCGAAGCTGGTCTTAGGTTACTGGGATGCCCAAGAGATGCAACTCTCTTTAGACAACTGGGGCGGTGGGGTAGCCTAGTGGTTAAAGCATCCGCTCGTCACGCTGAAGACCTGGGTTCGATTCCCCACATGGGTACAATGTGTGTCCCCCGCTGTGATATTGCTGGAATATTGCTAAAAGTGACGTTAAACAAAAGTCACTCACTCACTTTAGACAACAGGGCCACCCATTTCGCCCAAATGTAATGACTTCTACAGAGGAGCAATTGTTTTTTCAAACAAAACCAGTTTTTGATAACAATGAAACAGTGTGGTATTATGCTCCATTGTTGTAATATGCAAGAAATCCTACATTTGTGTACATGTGATGCTTGTGTGTTCCAGGCTTTCAGCAGAGCTGACACAAAGGACACACCAACACCTACAACAGAGGTCAAGGACACAGGGGTCAAAGACAAAGAGGAGTCAGTGGACACAGAGGTCAAGGGGAAGGTCAGTAGAAAGACTCAGCCGAAGGTGATGCAGGATCTGAAGAGGATCCGTGTGGTGCCGACATTTGAGGGGGATGATGTGCAGGACATTGAGGAGGATGGTGGGAGTGGTGTAGAGGAGGAGGAAGGAGAGGGCAGTGCAGGGGAGGACAGTGGAGAGGAGGACAGTGGAGAGGAGGACAGTGGAGAAGAGGACAGTGCAGGGGAGGACATTGATGAAGAGAATGGGGCAGCTGACAAGACCAGTGGAGGACAAAATCATTCAGTTGTTGAATCCTGTAAATCTTCAAACAAGTCGTCCACTCATGCTGCCCCAAAAAATGTGATCATGAGAGGGAAGAAGAAACAGAGATCATCAGTAGGAGAATCTGAAAATGGAAAATCTGAATCAGGGAAGTTGAAGATGAATCAAGACGAGGAACAGCCAGCAGAGTCGAAAGTCAACAGTGTGGCCAGCGGGAAGTGGACAGTCACAGCCCTTCCAGCACCAACCAGTACTGAGCGCAGGAAACCGGCTCAGACAGGTATATACTGGTTTTATGTGTCTTCAGTACATTGTTCTGTAGATGATGTTCACATAGATAATCAGCTTAAAACATCTTAGTCATCCTGGACCATTTAATATAACATATCAGTTTGCTCAGTGAAGCATTGCACCCTGTAGGGGCGGTGGGGTAGCCTAGTGGTTAAAGTGTCTGCTCGTCATGCTGAAGACCTGGGTTTGATTCCCCACATGGGTACAATGTGTGAAGCCCATATTTGGTGTCCCCCGCCATGGTGTTGCTGGAATATTGCTGAAAGTGGCAGAAAACTACACTCACTCACTCACTCATTGCATCCTGTAGCTCCCAAGAGTTGAATCTAAGATTCATCGGCATTATGATCCTTGTCAGTACTGTATCCATGGTACATATCTGCATCAGTTTGACAGCTTTATTGTGAATACAAAGCCATTCACTTACTCTATGCTTGATCCATAATGTTCTTACGGGAATGAAGGCGGTTGGATAGCCTAGTGTTAAACGCGTTTGCACGTCCCGCTGAAGACCCGGGTTCGATTCCCCACATGGGTACAGTGTGTGAGGGCCATTCCTGGTGTCCCCTGCCGTGATATTGCTGGAATACTGCTGCTAAGGTAAACTCGGCTCTCTCACTCACTCTCACTCACTCAAGGTAAACTCGCTCACTCACCCACTCACTCACTCACTCACTGTCACCTCACTCACTCACTCACTCACCTCACTCACTCACTCACTCACTCACTCACTCACTCACTCACTCACTCACTCACATGTCATGTTAAGGATGTGTCCTGTGTTTAGGGGAAGGCTGTCTGTACGACATGAAGGAGAGTTCAGAAGTGGCCTGTATTGAGGTGGTGGACCCTGGAAAACGGGGACAGAGCGAACAGGCCAAGAAACGGAAACTTCAAGAAGAGTCCCAGCAGCCATTGAACAGTAAACAGGTAAGGCATGGATCTACATGGACCTTAGAGGAGGATGTTGTAAATATCAGTAACAATTCCAATATTGGAACTTAAACTTTAACAAGCCATGTGATGTTTAGTTTTACATGTTAGCATTGAAGGAAATCCCCTGAATTTACAAAAATAAGGATGTCAAGAAAATCCCACATTTTGAACAAAATGTCACGGTCGTACTATGTGCATGTCAGTGCAAGTTAAAAGACATAACTGTTGCTTTCAACTAAGGGCACGGTCACACGTTATGCATGTCAAGGTCAAGGTCATATGTGATTGTCGCTGTGAAGTAAAGGTTATTCCATATGCACATCACTAAGGTTAAAGACATTGCACAATAAATCAGAATGCTTTTGATACAGATACCCAGAAAGAATAGGTGTTTTGTATTATGTCCTGATAATGTCAATGGACTCCTACTGTTGATTGACCCCAAATTTCCCTTTTTCATTTCCTGCCATGATCCATGTTCAGAGAATGGATGACATTACTTGTGCTTGTTATAGACAGACAGACAATTTATTTCGAGTATTCAAGGCCATGGCCCATATTACAAAAGGGTTTTAACAAGTGTATTCATGCTGGTCATGTTACAGGTATCTTGTCACCGGACGAGACAAAAATGCTCTAGTAAAACAACAATTGAGATGCTACACTAAACTATCAAACAATATTTCAGCATATATACTGAAGATCTAATTATAATTTGTTGTATTTTCTATCTTAAAGACTTAATATAAAAACCTTGCCAAACTTAATATTACATTTGTTATTTGATCTAAGGTCAACTGGTCCTTATTGATGGCACTGTCCACAACTCATGTTATATATACTGATTGGGAACTGCTAAACATCAGTGTGGGCTGGCTTAGCTGCAGGGGCCGCCACTGTATTTCATTTTTCAGATCCTTTGTGGTACGAGCTTTTGATAACCATCAACTTTTGTATTTCAGCGCCGGCGCCTGGAACGGCAGGCCAGGAAACAGAAGATTGGCGTTCACTTCTATTCTGAGTCCAATGTAAAGAACCGTAGCTATCGGTAGAGTTTAGGGACTTCAAAGACCTGAGTCAATGCTGAGTGTACCATATGTATGTCAATAAATTGGTTATGTTATCAGGGCTTTCTTTTGGAACATCAGCCAGTAACTTGGATGACCTGGAACATCTCCTAATAATCAGGATAGCTGGAACATCTGCCAGTAATTAGAATGGTCTGGAACATCTAACAAGAAGATATGGTCATCAATATCCCCGGCCAAAGTGTTCTGTTCCTATTTTGACAACTATACATTCTTCCTACAAATAGCTATGCATAAGCTGTCAAACGAGAAAATCTGTTCCTAATGGGGATAACATGCACTAAGTCAAGAAACTCATGACAAGGGTCATAACTCTGTAAAGAATCATAACACGGGTTCCGTTTTTGTACTCCATTAAGGCATTGATGTCCTGAAAATACATAAAACATTTGGTCTCCCTATCTATAACTGTGTCCCCATTGGGGATACCCTGCACTAAATAAAAAATCTCATGACAAGGGCCATAACTCTAACAAATTGTAACACTGTTTCCGTCTTCGAGGGGAGGTGGGGTAGCCTACTGGTTAAAGCGTTTGCTCATCACGCCGAAGACCCGGGTTTGATTCCCCACATGGGTACAATGTGTGAAGCCCACGTGATATTGCTTTAATATTGCTAAAAAGCGGCGTAAAACCATACTTACTCACTCACTCCGTCTTCGAACTCTATCAAGGCATTCATGTCCTGAAAACACATAGGGAATATTTTGTTTCCATATCTGTAACGGTTTTTGAGAAAATCTGTCTACCATCAAAGGCTTCACCTTGTTGACAAGGTATTGAAAGTCCCAAAACACAGCATAAGGTTACCTCAGTATTTCTACCAGTGTTTTCTCTCTTCTTATTGTACACCAGCAGGTTGAAACCTGTCCGCAAGATAAATTCGTAGTACCTTTGTCAATAGGGGTATGTGTGGATATTGGCGTCACTCTTTAGGTTTAACAACACAAGCGGGAAGGACACTTAAAACCAAATGTACCTCAGGATAGTGGTATAATACCTAAAAAGATACCAGTAAAACCACATAGACCTTGGACTTGTGGTATGAACCTAACGAGGCCCAATAAAACCACATAGACCTCGGACCCGTGGTATAAACCTAACGAGGTACCAATAAAACCATATTAGACCTTGGACCCGTGGTATAAAGGCTAACAAGGTCCCAATAAAACCACATAGACCTCGGACCCGTGGTATAAACCTAACGAGGTACCAATAAAACCATATTAGACCTTGGACCCGTGGTATAAAGGCTAACAAGGTCCCAATAAAACCACATAGACCTTGGACCCGTGGTATAAACCTGACGAAGTCCCAATAAAACCATATTAGACCTTGGACTTGTGGTATAAATCCTAACAAGGTACCAATAAAATCATATTATACCTGGGACCCAATAAAGTCACATAGACCTCGGACTCGTGGCATAAAACCTAACTAGGTATGAATAAATTTTAATAAAACCACAAAAACCTCGGACTCGTGGTGTACAACCTGATGCATAATGCCACACATTCCCCTCGTGGTAATTTCACCTGAGGTACAGTAGTTGGCCATAAGTGAGTCATCATTAGTAAAATGACCATGGACTTGCATGTTAATTAACTCTTGCAAGAATAATTTTCATATTTTTAATTTCTGTCGAATTGCTTTCAATACTTATCTACCAGCTGGGAAATCATCTCAGCTACATATACATTATTTCCATTCAATTGTCCGATGAAAACAGCATACATTAGACATACCAGTCAGGTTTAACATGGCTGTCAATGGGATAGATTAAGATGAAGTTTTACTTCTGGTGCTTAATCAGGTGTCATTCGATAACAAATCAACGAAACGATGAAAGAAAATTATGTACACGAAGCTGAAGATGACTTCCAAGATGTTTGCAAAATATCAAAATAAAATGACTTCTACTCAGTTTATAAAACACATTCTTGCATAGTTATTAGCTTCGCATATTGTGCCCATTCTTGAAATCCAACTTACTTTTAAAGGTCAACCCTTAACAATTAGTCAAACTGAGATAACTGGAAGTGTTTCCAAGCTTTTTTCTCTCCAGTACAGAGACCGTCGTCCACAAACAGTGTTTTTTCTGGACTTCCAAGTTTTATCAGTTGCATACTGTTTTTTTCACTACTCAAACCCACCACTGGTGGAAAGTGACATATGTGACTTCATGGGGTGAAGTGATAAAGGCGCTTGTTTGTAACTAGTCTCGCTGGGAGAGCTACAGAAAAAAATGCTGGTGTGGATGGAATGATGGTGCTCCTTCTGTTGATCTCAACGTCAGTGCACAGGCGAGTGCATGAGTTCAGCAATATTCTATCAGGCCGGGGGCACTACATATTGCACCATTGCGGGGGAATCGAGGGCGGTCCTTTGGCTTGACGAGAAAACTATTAAAACGCGCGTTTGCCCTACCCCTTGTGCTATAGAAATAATAAAAATAATTGAGCATGATCATGTGTCAACCATGATATATTTCCTCAGCTTTCTGTTAAATTAACCCAAGTACATACAGCTGCTATTGCTACAGTTTTAGGACTACACACCAACCTCAAATCTATCCACAGAGGCTGTGAAATGCTTTTGAACATCTCACAATGAGTGGTAACACCGAATATTAGATCAGTGTTACATGAACCATTTGTTTGTAACATCAAAAAACTTTCGTTAATTGCCCCCTTTCTGCACGCAGTAGCCATAATGGGCATAAGTGAGTGAGTGAGTTACAATTTTAAGTCATATCAGCAATATTTCAACCATATCGTGACTAAATCATGTTATAGATTTGTTATTTATAATAGTTAAAATAAATTGAGTAATTATGGATCGAAGGGGGCATCAGCTCTTGAAGAACATTGTTCAAAATCCGAGAAACATGCGGATAAAATGTCAACCAAGGTGAACAATATGCCGCTAGACAGCTTCTTGTCTGGAAAAGTGAAAAGTATCGACTGTGACTGCACAACTAGCAAATCAGTCGACAACCCAGTCATCAACACTCAAGTCTTTGGTGCCAATGTGTGACAGAATTTCAAATTCAGAGGTACGTACTGTAATAATTATCGAAATATTAATCATATATAAATATCTGCCAATATTTAGATTTAAGTCATTCTAATAGATTCTATAATCAAAAAGTATCCTAGATAAGGCCTACATCACTTTGTGAAAATTGATAAGATGGCAATTAAGCCCACATTAACATTATAATTGTATGAATAGAGACTGGTGAATTTACAGAACTCTTGTAACTTGCAGGTAAGTATGTCTTTTTGCCTATTTCTAATACATCTATAAATCATATACAAACACAACCATATTTATTAGTAGCAGCACATGTACATGTACACCGTCTGTATTTAAAACTTAACAATATACTAATGCTTATAACATAGTAGCTAATATTAGGCCTAAAAAATATATGTCTTGTTCCTGATTTCCGCCCGCGTCAGTTTCAACCCAGCGCGTCAAGCGTGTTTTTCCGGATTATAAATGAGCAAAGGGAGTGTGTACGATTAGCTGATCACTTATCAGTATTTTCTGCTGAACTTGCAGCAATCATTGAAGCTTGGATTCATTTTTTGAGACCTGTATCGGCGGTCATTTTCAGCGATTTTGTCAGTGCTTTACAAGCAGTTCAGACAGGTTTCTCCTCAGCATATTATTAGCATATTATTATACTCGACACTTTAATGAATTAAGTAAAGATCTTTTAAATGTAGAATTTTCATGGATACCTGCTCATGTTGGACTATTTGGAAATGAAAAAGGTGATAAATTGGCAAAAGCTGCATGGCATCGAGCGTTTTGTAACTAAATCCAAATTATCAAGAAGCAACCGTAGAGAAGAGGTTCTTTTAAAGGTCACATAAACCCTAGGGGGTAAAAATACATAAATCACTAACTCGCATCATTATAAATGAAACCCCGTCATTAAAACTACTCATTTCGACCTTTAATTGACTTAAATCGACCTTTTTGACAACAGTGCACAATTCTCACCCGCGAACGAAATTTCAACCAATCAGAGCGGCGCGACTCTGTGACGTCATATGAGGAATAGCTAGGAGGGCCTGTGCAGAATTCATCTACATTTTAGGGGTTAAATTATCTTGTTTACAGGCTTGTATAAACCTGAAATCGTGACAATTGTTGTGGAAAATGAAAGCTATATGTTCTCACAATCTACTGTCATTTAATTTTGTCTCATGCTTTGCCTAATTTCCGAGTTACAACTTGTTTTCATAGACGATTCTGTCAAAATCGATTGGTGTCGTTAGGCCCTATTTGTATAATGACTGATCCAAATTGATCCCATTTCTGTGTTTTTTACCTCGATATTTAATCATGTCATGTAAAAATCTGTTTGTATTCTTAAAACAGTGTCGGCCCATAAGTTTTCACATGCAATACAGCAATTAATACTCCCCTTGTTGTAACCCGTGTTAGGTGGTATAAACCTACACATGTTATTTGTCATCATTCACTTGATGGTCAGTTAATGAATTTATAACAGGTATAATTAGTGGTAACACACTTAAATTACCCGACAAAGGTTCCCATTTGGCATTTCTTGTGTCTGGAGTAAATATTCAACATTATAAACATCGATCAAAGGATTAACCGATAACACGCTGATTGATTAATTACTTTTATCTTACACAGCGGAATTGTCAAAAGGTAGTGTTTATGTATGTAGATTTACTAATCTATACTGAATACACTCTGTCGTGTCGGTGTCTGCGTAAAAACAACGTCCTTCTTTCAAAGGATTAACCGGCATTACATTGATTGATTGCCCATTATTGGCTAACTAAATTACTGTTTTTAAAGAAAGGCGGACATTATGCAATTAGTTGCCAGGTGTGCTATCTTGGGTGACCAATGAGACTATACATCAATACCTGAAAAGATTTATCACTTTTCGTATATTAAACTGTTAAAAGACACATCATTTGGAACAGTTTTGTGGATATTGATGGATACATTCCTCGAACAAGGTAATGGCCTGATATTGTTCCTATAAC